CAGTGAATGGAATGCGGCTTTACAAGGCGCTGTAACCGCCCACGTAGTCGCCATGCTGCGCGATATTTCCTCTTAACAACAAGCTTACAAATACTAGGTTAAATCTTGTATTTAATTTATCACGTCTCCACCACAATGATTACGGTAAATATATGGGTGTCCCTCTGGGTATAACTCTGACATACAAAAAGCATCTAAGCAACACGGCAAAACTGAGAACAAGAAACAACATCGTCAGTAAACTGGCAAGTTCGAGTTGGGGTGCATCTGCAACTAAGAGCCGCTGGACTGGCTCTGGTCTACCCCCATCCATCCTCCCAGTCCGCAAGTATTCAAGACCACAGCCGGATTAATTGATAATTAAAAAAAGTGGTGAAATGGGGATGCATTTAAGAGGTTGAAAACGGTTTTTTGACGATTTTCGGTGACACGTGACCTCCTTGGGAAAAATGTCAACAAACGTGTCAGTTCGGCGTCCTATCATTATTTTTGTGCTGGTTTTTTTGGTGTGTAACAATGAAAAAGTGAAGTTGTCAATCTAATAATAACAATAAATAGAAATTAATAAATCAGCAATCATCCAATCAATCATCTATAAAAAGCGAAATAAAAAGGCAAGCAGTAATCCTCAGCGCACTAAAGCACAAAGGTGTGCAAAACATATGGTCCTTCGAGCCGGATATGAGAAGAAATTACACGCAAGGCGAATCCCGTGTAATTTAAACCGGCAAAGATAACTATTGAATCTGGATAGTGAAGACAGGCAAGGCATAAAAGAGACTCAAATCAGGTCAGTGCGTTCCCTTCCTAGCCCAGACTTATCATCTTTCAGTTTCAAGTTTAAACAAATTTTAAAGTTGGTCATCAATAAATAATTCCACCTTAAAGAACCAATCATCTCACTATAATAGCAATGGCGACTGAAGGTGAAATAGAGTGCAAAACACTAAAAAATAATAAAAAAAACTTAAAATCTAAACTAACAAGATTTAAGCGATTTGTTGATTCTCT